TGAATATATTCATTTATTGATATTTACATATTGGCACTTGTCCTTCCTTAGATTCATTTTTTTACATGAAAGTTTGTTACACCAACTGTCATTAAAAATGATTCATCAATCATCACCTTACCTATTCTCAATGGTGACAAATATATGTATTAATATTGTCATCATAAATAGTTTATAAGTGTCCAAAAAAGTTGTAACTAATTTAACTCTCATTAATGATGAATTTTTATAAATATGACAAAAATAAGTAACTTAATTATGACAATTTTGTCACCGTCAGAAGTCAAAAGTTCAGAAATATATCGGGGATTGTCACTATATGTAATGTTTTGTTGACAATTTGAGTTTTTGTCATTCAATGTATGAATTATTGGTGACAAAATACACTTTTAGATGACAAAAAAATCGATATATACGTGACACATTTGGCGTCGCGAAAAGTGATTAATAATGGTGACGAAGTGTTAAATCGTCATTAAATGTTATTTATTTGGTGACGAATCAAAAATGTGTCATATACACCTAATACCACGCAACTACGGTGACGATCACTGTGACGCTCATAAGTCGTCATATAAAATCTATGGTGACAAAAAATGAATTTTATGTGACGAAAAAGAGTGTCACATTATGCCAAAATTCTTGTAGTGTCCTTTCTGCAATTACTTGATCCAATTCTTCATTTACTAATGACGATTTATTTGAATTAACACCTGAACTACTCCCGGTACTATGAGTTTCTTTAAATTTGGGTACAACATCAAAATATTTTTTCATCCTAAATCGTATAAATTGAAAATAGGAATTTTATCAATTCAGGACCCGAAAGATAGATTAATTATCAATTCGGGACCTGAAAGATAAAATGCATCGATATAGGACCCGAATGATGAAAAACTATCAATTTAGGACCTGAATGATTGAAAACTATTAATCTAGGACCTAAGTTGTCATAATTTTTTTTATTAAAAAATTTTAAATATTATTTCGTTTTATTAAATTAATAAACTTTTGTGAAGAAAAGTTTATCAAAAATTAGTAATGGAATTAATAAAAATTAAATAAATCAAAACGTATGAAACGTTAGGTCCTAAATTGATAGTTTTCCATCATTCGGGTCCTATATTGATACGTTTCATCTTTCGGGTCCTGAATTGATAAAATTCCTTGAAAATAACATTTATAAATACATGAATTTTTATGTAAGCACTAGTACATAAATATATAACACAAATTGACAAATTGTTGCATACGAGTATATCTTCTCTCAAAAAACAGTAAAGCACTAAAATATTCAGAGAATAAAACTACAATTCTACAAAACTAATAAAACTAATACGGAGTAAAAAGGAACCAGGGTTACCCTCACAGAAGTCACTGCTTGTCTTGTCTGCTTTAGTGCTACTAGCGTAGCCCTTCGTAGGAATCGTAGCTCTTAGTTCGCCCCTTCAGAGCGTGGTTTGTCTTCAGCCTTTCGCCTTCTATTTTAGGTTTCGCCTCTTCAGTTTTGGGCCGAGCCGCTGAGCAATTAAGCATATCCAATTAAAAAAATAGGCCAAAACAACCCCGCAGGATTCGAACCCGATACCTCCCGCAACATTGAAACTTTAACTCATGCGTGTGCTCCCGTTCCCCTACTCCGTACTTTTGGTTTTAAGGTAGTTTTTTGTGTAAATATACATTGAATAATTAATTTTATATAATATATATAATATATATAGGTATTTTTTTCGAGGTTCACGGGGTCCTAGGACCCCGTGGGACCCTTACTGGGTCTGCCTCTGCGTAGAGTGTTGGGCGGTCAAACAATTTCACATTCAAAAGATGAGTGTGGCAGAGATGTGCATGCTGCGTTGAATGTGTGGGCATACTAGGAAGGACCGCGTGAGGAATGAGACAATCAGACAAAGGGTGGGAGTAACACCTATTGAAGACAAGATGCGGAAGTCACGCCTACGGTGGTTTGGCCATGTGCGTAGAAGACCGAGTGATGCACCTGTCAGACGAGTTGAGATGTGTGGTCGATAGAGCTGTCAAACGGGCCAACCCGACCCGACCCAACCTGACCCGTAACGGGTTATGCTCTATGTGGGTTGGATCGGGCCAACCCGTTTAATGACGGGCCAAAATTTCTACAACCCTAACCCAACCCACCTAACCCGTGGGTTAAACGGGTTGGCCCGCGGGCCAATAATATAAAAAAATATATAACAAAAAAATAAAAATAATTACCCGGAAGTATATATTTATATTAGTAAGTACTAACAAAGGAAATATAAGAAATCAAAATACTAAAAATTCAATACTTGTTAAGTTTAATTAAAAAATACTACGTATTAAATACTACTTATACGAGAATTTGAAAACTATATGAGGGTATGCGACAAAAATACTCATCGTATGAAAATAAAGATCTACATAAACTTTTTGATTAATTATTTTTAAATAATGACTACTAATTATTAAATGTTGTATCGAGCTTCACATAAAATATACGTTTCAACATTTTATTTGAATATTTATTATAGAAATAAATATTGTTTTGCCATGGTTGTAATTTTTTATTTGTAATTATAATAATATTGGTAGTAAAAAGACAATATTAAAGATAATAAATTTCAAAACTATATTTTTGTATTTTGGCCCGCGGGCCAACCTGCAATCCGGTGGGCCAACCCACTTAAACCCATAACCCGCGTGGGTTGACCCGCGAAACCCGCGAACTAAATGGGTCAGAAATTCTCAACCCTAACCCACCAATAAATGGGTTTAAACGGGCCAGCCCACGGGTTTCGACCCATTTTGACGGCTCTATGTGTGGAGAAGAGGCAGAGAAGAGAGGGAGAGGAAGACCCAAACAGACGTGGGTTAGGGGAATTCGAAATGATATGCTTCTTCTTGGGTTGGATGTGGGCATGAATTTGGAGAGAGGTAAGTGGAGGGCGGGTATTCGTGTGGAGGAGTGATCTCGTATCATCTTTTTCCTCCATCTTTTTTCCTTGTTTTTTATCCTTATATAAATAAGAATTATTTTTATCCTTTTTATTTTATCATTTTTATGTATATTCATCTCTTTTTATATTATCTTTTTATAATAGCTTATCTTTTTTATCTTTATTTCCTTTCTTTTCCTTTTGGTGGTGATATCATGTATCGATTCACGTTAGCCGACCCCAATATCTTTTGGGACTAAGGCTTGGATGTTGTTGTTGTTGTTGGTATATTTTAGAACCCAATCACCTTTTTATATTGAAAAAGCTTCCAACGATTAGTGATAGCCTGTGATTAAGATTAAATTAAGAAAATTCCTCCACCATTCCTCAAGAGACACGATACTCGGGGAAAAACCGAAAGGTTAGACTTCGTTTTACTACAACGCCGCGTAAGTGGGTTATGAATGATGGTGATGATGATGATGAAGAGGAGGAGGTAGAATGGGATGATTTTGACAATGATGATGGAAGGGATGATGGTAATTAGGCCATAAGATGTGATGATTCTTCCGAAGAGTTTTCATGTTATGATGATTAAGCTTCAAGCCTTCAAGATTTTTAAACCATGTCAATTGTGTGATGTGCCTGGTTGTCTGTGATGTTTCAGTTTGTGTGTGATATTTCTGTGTGTTTGTGAGACTGTGATATGTCTGTTTTGGTGAGATGTTTCTTTTTCTGTGTTTGAAGCTTAGTGACTTACTGGTAATAGGTCACATGAATTTGTGTCTTACACTTTTTGTAATTATAATTATAGATATCCTTTACTTCTTGAGTTGTTTGTTACTAGTTTAACTATTTTAAGTTTTATATGTCAGTATATGTTGAGGCTTACGTCTCAAGGCTTACGCCTCGCCTCTTACGAACAAGCTGCCTTGATATTTGAACCCGTCTTTTTAAACCTTGATTAGAAGTATTTTATATTCAGTGACTTATTAAAAAATGGATAAAATTACATATATACTCCGTAGAATAGTCTGTAATAACCTAACAACTCATTTCTTTTCAATTCTGATTTACGAGGCTTTCATCTTCTTCTCTCAAGTTCTTGAGCTATTCATTCTTGTGTTCTTATACTTCCACTGATAATAACAATCAATATGGTATCATATTACGCCTAATCAATCCTTTCTTCGAGTTTTTCCCTTTTCCAGTGATAAAAGGGATTGTAAATTGCTCAAGGCTTTATTATTGTATGTTGGTGATATTATTCTAGCTTGCAAGAAAATAGAAGAAATTAAAACTGTTAAATCATACTCAAACAAACAATTCACTATTAAAGACGTAGGTGAGTTGAAATATATTTTAGGGATAGAAGTTGCTAAATCTGTAAGAGGAAATTGTCTTTATCAAAGAAAATACAAATTAGATATACTTTCTGAAAATGGATATTTGTCATCAAAACCGTATAATCCTATGGATTTTAAATCAAAACTTTCCAAAAACACCGGTGCTCCTCTTTCTAATCCAAAAATTTACAGAAATCAATCGGAAGATTATTAGATCTCACTGTTACTATATCCGATTTAGCTTATAATGTTCAAACTTTAAGCCAACACCTATCTAATCCTACTGATGTTCATCTAAATGATATACATAAATTGTTTACATATCTAAATGATATACATAGACTGTTTACATATCTTAGAGTGCTTACATATCGTAAAAATAATCCTGCCAAAGGATTGTTTTATTCTGCTTCTTCTGACTTCCTTCTATACGAGTATATAAATTCTAATTGGACAGGGTGCATAGACACTCACAAAAGTGTCACTGGATACTGTTTTTATGAAAAAATTCCACTTTTGGTCCTATGACTATTACACCACTTTCACATTAATCTCATGAGTTTCAATTTAACCAAATGCAATCCTTGACCTTTTCCACATAACCACCTGTGGTCCTTCCGGCCACAATTCCGGCTAAATTTAACCGGAGACCAATTAATGAAGGGTAGTTGCGTCATTTAATAGCATTTATTGGTTTGAAACCTAACTTCAACGTTTACAGGCCATAAACGCAGACTCTCTGACCGTAGCTTCTCCCTCGCCATAGCTACTGTACCCCCTCGTCAGTGTGACCCCCAACAACGTTTGAGTGGGTGCAGACAAGCATCTCACCATAGCTTCTCCCTCGCCATGTCTAGCTCAAAATCGGGTAGTTCAAATTGTACGGGCCAATATGAATATGGAGAGTGGATTCCGGTGAAGCATTGTGAATGTGGGCAACGAATGAAGATGTTGACAACTTGGAAACCAGAGAATTGTGGGAGAAGGTTTTGGAAATGCATTGGAAGTCAGGTTACATATAGTTGTAATATATGAAATATTTTGAAATTCTATATTGGTTGACTGAATTGGAAAATATATATGTTCTTGCAGAGATTTGAAGGTTGTGGTTTGATGGAGTGGTTTGACCCTCCGATGTGCAAAAGGTCTCAAAACATAATCCCTGGATTACTGAAAAAACTGAATGGCTATGAAGAAAAAATCCATTCATTGGAATTGAAGGTTGAAACATTGGAGACAAACTGGTTCAAACCACAGAAGAAGAAGACAAAACGTAGTATCTGCATTACAGTGGTGTGCTTTATGTGTGTTGTGGTTATTATTGTTTCAGTGTGCTTGAAAGGAAAATAATGTAATGTAGTGAGGTGTGTGATGATGTACTTGTAAAAGCTTTGTAAAAGCTGTTGATTATCATGATTTGGTATGAAATGAAATGAAAGTTATATGATCATGAGTCACATACGTATGTTAACCGATCACTTTAAAATGTGCTTAACACATATGTATGCTAACTGATGACTTGAAAATATTGCACCAAAAAACTCAGTTTGAAACATGCAATTATGACTAAGTAAACTACCATACAGTCACTTGACAAACTTGACAACCTGTTAATACATCACTACCATTGTTTGAAGTTACTCAACAACCTGTTAATACATTACATGAGATCATACACAACCAAAATGCTAATCCATGCATTACATGAGATCATTCATAAACCTGATATCATTGAAAACCAAAATGTTAATCCATGCAACACATGAGATCATCCAAAAACCTGATATCATTGAAAACCAAAATGCTAATCCATACATTACATGAGATCATCCAAAAACATGATCCATACATTACATAAGATCATCCAAAGTATCTCAAAAACATAGAAGCTGCTATACCAATACAGTCACTTCCAAAAAGCCAAAAGCGTACTACATTACATCATCAAAGTAGCATCATGAATACACATTTTAGTCCACCCATTACTGTATATCAATGGGGTCATCATCATTTCCAAAGAAGACTGATTTGAAAGTTGTTTTGGATCTAGTAGCATAGGTTGGTCCCCTTTTAATGCTGAGTTTGGGACTCGGATTCACTTTAGGTGATTTCACTACATTTGAACTGCTCTTCTTTTGACAAGGGGTGGTCCATAGCATATTCTGGCCCCTTCTTTTGTCCTCTGGTATGTCCCAACAATCTCTTCTTCTGAAACCTCTTCACTCTCTCCTTTGGCGCTCTCTTCTTGTTTGCTCCCTTCTAAGGTTTCTTCTTTGCTATCTTCTGAGTATTGACTGACTTGTGTTTCTTGAGTGAACATAGCAGTGTCCTCTATACTCACAACAATAGGAACCTGACTTGCAAAATTTGCTCCTTCAGCAGACTTCATGGTAATGTCAATGAGGTTGAGGTCATCAAAAAGGTTGGTGTGATCACCAAGGGTCCTCATCTCTATCATGCACTCCAACACTCTGCTTGCTCTTTGGTTTCCTATTTCTTTTTCTAGGTTGCAGCTGATTACATGTAAACACATAGTAGTTAATGCACACATTATACACAATATACTATAATAATAAAATAAGCTTACAAAAATTAGATGCACACTATACCAGCTTTTCCTTGTTGTTAAGATCATTCGGACATCTCCTAGCATTGTGACCAACCTTCTTGCACTTTGAACAATGCAATTTAATATGTGTTCTTGCAACTTGGACACCATCTGTGCTCAGATCTACTGCAGATTTCCTCCTTAGTTTTCTTGGTCTTCCAGCTCTAGCAGCATATACAGGTGGAAGAGGGGGAAGTATATCAGACCAAGGCCACTCATTTGGGCCTGCCATTGGCTTTATGGATCCTGCATAGATCTTCAGATAGGTGTACTTGGAATACCATGGGTGGACATATGCATCAACAGGGCCTTTTCCAAATTTCAGCCATATAGCACAGATTGCATGCTTGCAGGGGATCCCAGTTAAGTCCCACTGCCTGCAAGTGCATGTTCTCTTCTCCAAATCCACACCATGTTGGTTACCATGGCTTCCCATTATCTCAAAATCATTGTCACCACACTAATATCCAATCAAACTTGCAGCTAACTTCTCAGTGTCTTGGATTTTCTTGGCTATTCTAGAGCAAATATTTGAAAACCACTTCCTTGCTTTGGTCCTGCTAGTGAACAACTTTGTTAGAAGTAGTTTCCTGATACTTTCTAGACACCAAAAGGGCTTGATGTCTGGCCTCTAGTATGACACTGTTAAAGCACTCACAAATATTGTTGATCAACATGTCAGTTTTGGAGTGAGTTGAGAAGTGTGCTCTAGACCATTCTCTGGGGTGCTTATCTGCCAGCCACTCAAACGCTTGGCCATCAATTTCCTTGAATTTGGATAGGGCAGCTTTATAAGAGTTAATAGTGCATGCCTTGCTACATTCCCAAAGACAATCTTTTATGGCTTTCCCAGTAAAACATGCAATTCTGCTTGAATTAGCCCTTTCTGCTTGTCTGACATCAAAGTGAAAACATGCTCATTTCCTTCTGTGATATCATCATCCCTCTTCACACGGTTTACGAACCAAGCCCAGGATTCCCTACTTTCACCCTCAACAATAGCATAAGCTAGTGGAAAGATGCTATTATTTGCATCAATTCCGATTGCAACTAAAAGCTGGCCCCGTGTAGCTGTTTTCAGATGGGTCCCATCAACCCAAGCACTGGTCTACACTGTTTAAATCCTCCTTTACAGGCTTCCCAACACATATACATCCTCAGAAATCTTTGTTGTCCATCCACTTCTAAATTTTCACTCAATTTCACAACACATGTGCTCCCAGGATTGGTCCTTCTTATTTCAGTCACATATGACCATATCTTCTTGAAGTAATCTTCTTCTTCACCTTTCAGTTTTCTCTTAGCCTTACTTATTGCTCTATAAGCTTGCCTGAGACGCAAATGGAAGCGTTCTTCCGTACATACTTTCTGTCTAAACTCTTTGGTTTTCCAATTTGAGTGACCCTCAATCTTCTTGAACCACCTATTTGCTACCTTGCTTGAGTTCACCATTTTGTTGTGATAGACCCAAGAGCAACCTTCATGTGTGTCATGGTACTGTAAAATCCTCCACGAATGAGAGTTCATTACCTTTCTTAGATTCATCTTCCATGGGCAGCCTATATGCTTGCACTCCACAACAACCCGTTCCTTATCATTTTTGACAAACCTCACCTCTTTACCATTCTTAAATGCATGATTTTCCACAGCTTCTTTGAATTCTTGTTTGGTGCCAAATGTCAAACCCAATCTAAAGGTAGGGTCTTTCATATCAGTCTTGGCACAGAATTTAGTCCACTTCTCAGAGTCAGTGTCAGATTCATGTATGGAACCATCATCAGACAAGTTAGGATCCGGGTCCACCATTGAAGCTTCAGTAACATTTTCTTCTCCTTCACTACTGTTGTTTAACCCTCCATGAGTAGACAACACAACATAAATGAGGTCAATAATGTGTTTAAATGGTTAACACAACACCATGAATGAATTTCATAATTACTAGTTCAAAAAACATAAAATAAAAGCATGTATGGGTATAAGCTTGCGTGAAAATAAATGTGAACTGGTCCCATGTGTTAAATGGTAAAAGACAACCGGGTAGGAGAATCTAAGCCAAAAAAACACATGCCTACCCTACCATGTTTTGGAATAAAGGGAAAAAAGGGAAAGGGGTAAAAGGAACCTCAACATAAAACTCCTAGCATGTGCAAACACTGCAACCAACGTATATATAAACCTCAGTTCAGCCTTATATTCTTTATTTTCTTCCATTCTTGTAAAAAAGTTGACCCACTTACCTTTATCAGCAGCATTTGTTCGAGAACGCCGTTCAGAGCTTGTTCCTTCTCCTTCACGCCGGCGGTCCAGACGGGTCCTCATTGTTCGAACGGTTTTGGGGATTTTTCGAGCTGACGGAAGCTTTCTTCAGAGGGAGAAGAGAGTTCGGTTTTTGAGGTAGAGGGAGACGATGGTATTACCTCACAATTAAGTTAACTTAATTGAGTAGTTTATTAGGTAGCCGTTTTTGTAATATAAATTTACTAAAATGCCCCTAACAAATGTTCATTAATTGGTCTCCGGTTAATTTAGCCGGAATTGTGGCCGGAAGGACCACGGGTGGTTATGTGGAAAAGGTCAAGGACTACATTTGGTTAAATTAAAACTCAGGGGATTAATGTGGAAGTGGCGTAATAGTCATGGGACCAAAAGTGGAATTTTTTATTGTTTTTATTTAAGAGATTCTTCAATTTCTTGGAAGTCAAAGAAACAACTTGTTATTAGTAGATTTTTTTACCGAATCTGAGTATAGAACTGCTGCAAATGCAGCATGTGAAGCTCAACGGTTATTTTTTCTCTTAAATGATTTTTAAATCTTACATTCCTCTCATATACCTATAACCAATCTACTTTCCATTTGGCTCATAATCTTGTGCAACACATCAAAGGACAAAACACATTGAACTTGATTTTCATTTAATAAGAGAAAAGACAACAAATGGTTTGATTACTCTTGTACTAATTAAAAATGAACTTCAACTTGTAGATAACTATACAAAGTCATTATCCAATCAGATTTCACATGCATGATGAACATGATCATTATACGTGCTCATCTTGAGGGAGGGTATTGGAGCTGATATGCTGACAACGACAAAAGTAATCTAATTTGGGCATTGGAGCAGATTAGATATTAGAAGTATTTTATATTCAGGGACTTATTAGCAAATAAATATAATTATGCATATACTCTGTAGAATAGTATGTAACTAGTGTAATAAACATTGTAAACTATTCATAGGATATGATCAAAATTTTGGCGATTGCTTTTATGAACTAATCACCACCATGGAATACGGATGAAGAATTACCATCTTTTGGAGTACTAATTTGTGGTTATAATTTTGGTTTATGTGCTTATTGTTGTAAAATTTATTAATTATAGGACTAACAACCACCATGGAATACTCCACTAATTATAGGTCTAATTATATGATAAGGAATGATAAGAAGAAACGTTGAATTGGAATTGGGAATATGTAGAATTTTTAATTTACATTATTTTGGATATTCACATGTATTATTGATATTGTACGATTAGAGTCCCGTCCACGTGAAGTAAAGTTTCATTATTTAAAAAAAATTGAAATATTTCAAAATTGAGCATACATTATAATGTGAACTATTTATGACTACTGTCACTAACACCCGTCCACGTGAATTAAAGTTCCCTAAATATTTCGATGTGTGGAGCCTACATAATGTCTTAGTTATTTAAAGTTTTCTGCCTACTTTTTTTTTCCTTTTCCATTATAGCTGATTCATCTTCTTTTTATTTGGAACTAATTAAATGCTTTCATAATAAAGATGATAGAATTTTTGTTGACCAATAACAGAGTGACATA